GCACTCAGCACACCCCGCACTCAGCACACCCCGCACTCAGCACACCCGGCACTCAGCACACCCCGCACTCAGCACACCCGGCACTCAGCACACCCCGCACTCAGCACACCCCGCACTCAGCACACCCCGCACTCAGCACACCCCGCGCTCAGCACACCCCGCGCTCAGCACACCCGGCACTCAGCACACCCCGCACTCAGCACACCCCGCGCTCAGCACACCCCGCGCTCCCAGAGCCACGGGGCCAGGGCAGGAAACTGTTCCCCACACTGGAGGAGCAGTGACTACAGCCAAGAGTCATCCAGTCTGCAGCCAAACCTGGAACAGACCAAAGGCTCATCAGCTGGGAATTCTGGTTCTTTGGAGCTACACTCTTAACAAAAGATGCTTTTCTCTTGGCAACTTTCTTGCTATCAACACAATAACCAAGTTAGCTGTGGCAGGAAATGGGCTGTAAATATGAGGATGACCTGCCCTCATCTTGCATCTTTCATCACTGTCTCTCCAAAGGGCATTGCCTCCTAGGCAAGACTGAAACTGCAACTGCGACGTAATGAGGAAGGGTAAGTGTGGTGTGATAAATGCACTTCTGCAGGTTAAAAGGAAAAACCTTCTTCGCTCTACCCTGACTGAAAACAGATGAACTGGTACGAGGGCCACAGCTGAGCTTGCAAAGGCCAAAGAAAAACCCAGTGAGCAAAGCTTTGTGCAGAAGGCAGGCAGGCATGAGCTGCTGCCTGTGCTGGACTGACAGTTCCAGAGGCTGTCTGCATTAAAAGTAACTGAGCCTTAGAAATAAATACTATTTCATATATTTTGACAACTGTAACCTAAAACTTGAAGTGCTGTGTTTATGTTGGTTTTGCTTAATAGAAGAAAGATTTGCCTTTGCCTGAGGTTAATAGTGTTCCTGGGTGGCTAAAGCTGGCCACAAGGAAACACACCCTTTTTCTTTTTCACATTAATAAAGCTTTTAACATGTTTCTGGCAAATTGGCAAGAAAAGTGCGTGTAACTCATAATTGGTGATTTAAATGCAATCATGAACAAATAAATGCCTGTTCAGATCTCATTATTTATGAACTGAACCTGCTTTAAGACAAAATTACTCTTTTTTTGGGCACCAGCCAAGCATAAACACTTATTAAGTCTTAATTTTAATCATAAGCTGGAAATGTACTGCGTCTCACACACTGCTGCCTATTTGGAAGGACTGTATATTATGGGAGCTCCTGTGAATTTATGGAAACGTGACACGGTTCTAGTGCAAGGGGCACAGGAGAGTGGGACTCTTCTACCTGAGGAGACAGCAAATCCCCCTCCCCTGCAGGGCCCAAGCAAACAAATGAGAGCAAACCAGGGATGAGTTGTGAGTGAGCCCGGGGTGTCCTGTTTGGGTCAGATGAGTATTTAATTTTTACCCCAGAATGCACTTGTCAGTTTTGTTTAACTGATACATTACTGAGCAAAATGGAGGGAGTTCTTTGTTTGATCAGAACAAGGTATGGCACAGGGTGGTTGTACTTACTGGTGCAGTGGTTGTGTCTGCAGGCTTAGTGCTGTGAAAGCTGAACAATCTGGCTGTGAGCCAACAAAGTACTTAAATATGTGCTTAACTTCTGAATAATAAAGAGTTCATATTTTCTTGCAATACAGGCACTTATTACTTCATGTGTATAAAATATGCAACTTTTAGTTTCAAGATACAGACCAGAAAAGCATCTGAACTTTTATGCTCATCAACAAGTTGTAGTGAGCTACAGTATTTCTTTTCATATTTATGTCACTTTTTTGGTATTTTGATGTCAAGTATTTGAAATAATTTCTTTTAATATGATGTCCTCAAAACAGTCCTTTGTAGAAAACAAAGCTATGATTTCTACAAAGCAGAAGTGGAAGTTGCCAACAAAGCTGTCAGTCAGTGAGTGCAGTGCCAGTGGTATTAGATGTGGACATTTCAGTAGGAACTGAAACGGACCCTGCAATTATCTCACACTGAGCAAACCTCTGGCCACTAATTGTAATTCAGCTGCTTCCAGCCCCAGTCCCAGGGAAGGAATTAGCCCGGGGTGAAAGACCCCGGATCACGTTACAAATGAGCTGCCCCTCCCCTGCCCAGAGGGGAGCTGAGCACCTCCACCTGATGGCAGACCTGCTGACCAGGAGTTCCCCACAAGGACTCCTGTTCCCAGTGTCCAGCAGCACCAGAAGAGTTTTCAAAACTCCTGCATGTGAAGACGAGCAGTCGCTGCAAATACTTAAGTGTCAGACAAACCTCGGGCTGGTGTCCTTGTCATTAGAGCAGGAGTTATAGAATTCAGTCATCTTTGTGGCAGTAAAATTAGTGATTAGAGCCCCAAAGATTTCTTGTGCTGCCCTCTCTTGAGCAGAGAATTCGAGAGCTCCCCTCCTGAACGATGTCATTTCAGTAACAAAGGCAACCAGAAAAAGAGACATGTCCTACCTCCTGCAGGCCTTTGGCTGCCGTGGCCATCAGCCAGCGTCCCTGGGCCAGCTGCACCACAGAGCACCTGCAGAATCCCACGTGCTCCGTGCAGACAGAGTCCGTCACCGAGGTCCGGCCCTCTGCTAAATCCCACAGGCAGATCCTCTGGTCCCGACCCTGGCTGTGACAGTGACACACACATCCACAGTGACACACACATCCGTGAGCTGCAGGTCCCACGAGCCCTCTGCCTGCAGGGCAGCAGCTCAAACTGGGGCTGGCCCAGGCAGGAGTGCACTGAGCTCAGTCCAGCTGGGGGGTGTTAATGGGGTCTGTAATTAACGGGGGAACTCGGTGTCCCTTCAGCAGAACTGGCTGGGAGGAGGGAGGGCCTGAGAGCCAGGTTGACACCCTGCAGTCCCAGAGGGCTGTTGCCATGTGGAGAGAGGCTTGAGTGAGCCCAGTTATGCTATTTATGTGTATGCATGTATTTATAAAGTCTCATGAGCATTTGAACATATTCACAATCAAAAGACTTATATTTTACCATTAATCAGATCTAATTTAAAAGGAAACAAAAGTACTGAGAGAGCCACACATGTAACACTTGTTCACCCTAGCAATGAAATGGAAATGTCATGTGTTGACAGCTGAAAGACAAACAGCAAGACAACACAGAGGGCGTCAGAGATAAATAAAAAGCTACAGTTATTCAGTGGGCAACGTCCCACAGGCACAGGGAGGGCAGAGAGGGCTGGCAGGAGTGCCACGTGTGGACACGACAGGAGAGGGACTGGCAGCAATTAAACACCAAATGTTGAATGCTGTGGCTCAAACACCCCCCAGAGCCCTGAGGCACAAGTGCAGCTCACTCTGACTCTGGGCACAGCCCTTGGGGGCTCTCCTGGCCCAGGAGCCCAAAGGGCACAGCAGGAATTGCTGCAGGGTTCTGGGATCCCACTGCCTCTGGAACAAGGTACTGCTGTGGAGAAACTTCCAGTCCATAAACTACAGGAGCACAGGACACATGTCCTCATGCTACCCCTGGACCAAGGAGTCACCAAAAATCCCTTCTCCATGTGTTACTTTAATTAACTGGATCACCTGATGAAGTATGAAACCAAAACAGAGGAGATGTGAATCTGCAGACTGTTGGGACTTCTTCAGTCAATACAGAAACTCCCACCTACTGTTCAGCTGAGTGACAAGCTGACACAACATTTACAGCACTGGGAACACAAACAATGTGGTGCTGCAAGAAATTGTTGTGATTTAGCTTCAGAAGAGAGAAATCCAAAATACAGGTACCCGCTGTCCTAAAATTGCACTGCTATGTGAACTGTTACAACTATACAGCAGAAATAGAGGTATGGAAGAACTCTATAATTATACAAACAATGTTCATTCAATATGATTTTATGGGGAAGAGTGTTGAGAATTGTACCTAGGCAGATAAGAAATATAAATGCTAATGAGTTCCACTTATATTATGAGATGTCTTCTCTAGATAAACATGTCAGAACACCTCCTAATCATACAGACACTTTGGCATCTACTCTAGATCACCTGTCTAATCCAAAATACACAAATCTACCCAACCTCCCCTTGCTAAACAAGAGGATATTTTGCAACAAAGCAAAGGCATGAAACTCAGCATTCTTGCTCATTTTCAGTCTTCCACTCTCCATCTCTGATTCTTCTCTTCTTTCTTTCCCTTTTCTCCCTCCCCTCTATTCACAAACTCTTTATATCAATATTCCCTGAGAACCAGCTGTGAAAGGTTTGTCAACTTCAAATCCAAATGTATTTCCTTTACCCAAACACCGCCCCTGATCTCAGTGCAGTAATAAAGGCACTGTGGATCCCAAGTTGTTGTGATGTCATAACACACACATCATAAAGAAATAATTTCTATTTTCCCCCCACTTTTCATTCTAGAGTTTCTCTGTATTTTTGTACTTCAGTGTGTTTCCACGTGTTGGGGAGACTTTCAGTGACTCCTGCATTACGAGACGTTTTTCCCTTCAGTCGTGTCCATCCCAGAGACAAGAACTATTTCCCTGGCTCTCCTCTGCTTTGCTCACCTGAGGAGTCTGTCTTTACCACCCATTGTCTCCACACAGTAGACAGATTTTCGTCCATGGCCATCCAGTGCTGTGTCCACTCTGTGTGTTTTCAGGTTCCAGACATGGATGAGCCCGTTCTCAGAGCTGGCAATAGGAACAGATGGTTTTAGTGTGACCACTGCATTCAGGTGATCAGTCTGATGCTTTTTGTTTCCAAAACTGAAGGTGTGTGCACAGACAGCACACCCATCATTCACAACCACAGGTTGCTGTTTTCTCCAGACACACTTTGTCAAAAGAATACCCTTGTTTATAAAAGGAAACGAGCACAGTGAGAGCAGCCAGAAATCCTGGTTTCCTTACCCAGAGAACAGAACAGGGGGATCGGGTTCTCGGCCTCCACAGGAGAAGTGCAGAGTGTGGATGGCAGCACTGGTACCTCTGAGCACAAACTGGGGATCTGGAGGTGGCAGAGCCATCCCAGCAATGAACTGTGGGGGTGAGAAGAAGACACAGATATTAGTGAGGGGAAGGCAAAATGAAAGGTAAAGTGAAATGACAACTTTGAATATATTCTGAGCAGGATGTTGCTTTTCCTGGTCCCTTTGCTCTTTGAATTATCATTACTGAATGTTATTTCTATTTGCCACACAGCTCAGGGTAAAGCATTTCCTCTGAACAGCAGCTGTGAAGCAGTGTCCAGCCTGCTCTTTGCTGCACTGCTCTGTCAGGGAGGTGCTGAGCACACCCCTCACACTCTTGGAAATACAAAATTGGTCACCTGTTCTCCCTGCTGCAAAAGGCAAGAGCCACACAACACAAGAAACTGGATACCCATAATTTCAGTGGGCAAGCAATTCATCATTCCCTTTAGCCCCTTGGCTAAGTCTTTCCCCTTCCTCCCCATAAAAATACTACTTCTGTGTTTCCCCTCACAACCGTTTCCAGAAAAGCACTGCAGTGAACATATCAACTGCAAAGGACTTCTGATGAGACTGGAGTTCTGGTGCACACAAGAATTCCATTACTCTTGAGTGCTTGAATTTTTGGTTCCAAGCACAGTTACAGGAAAAAAGAAATGCAGTATTTCACACTGAGTGACTACTGTGTTAAACATTTTATTCCAAGCAGCTTGTATTCCCTAAAGGATCAAAAGGGATGGATACCTTCAGCTTCATGTCATCGGTTCAAAGGTGGTCGGGCTCAGCACAGAACAGGACTGGTGTTTGGGGAAGGAGCTGCCCTGTCCCATGTGAGAAACACAAAGGACAGTTCCTGATGAGCTCCCAGGGACAGCCCGTGCCATTCCCACAAACCCAGCCCATGCCCTTCCCACAAACCCAGCCCGTGCCATTCCCACAAACCCAGCCCATGCCATTCCCACAAACCCAGCCCGTGCCATTCCCACCGGCAGCTCTGCACAAGCACCAGAGAAGGACAAGAATGACTTCTCTGTGCTCTGACTTGCTGCAAATGACCCTCCAGACCTGTGCTGGGACAAGGGAACCAGCAGCTTCTTTAACTGGAACTGCAATTTGCAATTCATTGTAATGTCCATTACAAAAAATATTTTCACCACAAGAAGTGTTTACTGCCTTATCTGTGGCATTACTAGCTATGCTTTATGTTTGCTTCTTCATTTCTGACCTGACTTCACACAGAAAAGGTCATCTTTCGCCACTACAGATGTCAACTCTTGTCACTTTTGCCTACTCATGCATATATTACCCCAGATTAGACAAAAACTTTGCTTAATTCAGTAAGGAAGATCAGCAGGTGTTTGTCTGCCTGCTGGCTCACAGCAGAGGGATTGCAGAGAATCAGAACAGAGCACTAGAGCTACAAGTTCCACATAAAACAGCTCAGTGTTCGTCATCGCCCCTCAGCATCAGCTTTTGAATCGTGTTCAGTGGATGCACTTGCTGTTGCACCTCATTTGCAGGTCTACCTTGAGTGTTTATAGATCAGTAATCACCATGGTATCTATAGGTCCTAATTAAATGCAATTATCTTTTAGAACTAGTGATGAAACATAATGTGCAGCATAATGTGCAGTTCTCTCTCAATAGCACTGTGTAATTAGGTATGAGAATGATGAGCTCAGTGGATCCCCTCCGTGTTTTCGGGCCCTGACTCATGTGTTTTATGATGCTGATCCACACTCCTGACAGGCATTACACGATGTACAGCTTGGCCCCATGGCGAGATCCAGCTCCCGGGTGCCCATCTGTACCATGTTACACCTGTACCCTGGGTTACAGACCTGTGAGAGTGAGGATTCTGTGCCCGGGGGTCCCTCTCTGGGCACCCCAGCTGTGCTGGTGCCCTCAGCCCCCCCTCTGTGGAGCCCTGTCAGTGTGAGGAGCTGGGGGCTGTCCGAGGGTGCAGCACTCCCTGTGCTCAGCACGAGGCAGAGCCGAGCCAGCCCGGGGGCCAGCTGGGATTACAAGGCAGGCTTTTAACAGCGTTTTTCTAATTACCCCCCCACAGGTTTCTGCTGACAGACAGCAGTGTGGGCGTGGCTGGGGGAAGGCTTTACCTGGCATCAAACAGACGCTACTAATGCATGTCTTTACAAGGAGGAGGGTTCAGAACAATCCTCAGACTGGTTACAAGAGAAAAAACCAACTACAAAAAACATACTTCTGAGATGTAAGCAAATGAAGGGACTTTTTGCTCCTTGGAGCCTGGTTCTTTCCTTACTTTTCTGCTAATCATATATGTGAATCTGGAAATTTGGCTTAATATTAAACGTAATTTTTATTGAGCTTATGACTCCTTATTACTTCCTATCACGATGTGGCAGATGAATGGCAGTGTGACAGTATTAAGCATCTCATTTTCCTTCCAGCAAGTGCTGAACTATAAAATTGCATCTGTGCTGTCTTTATCCAGGAGCTTGGACAAGTCACTAAAGACTAAGATTTAATTAAAAGTTCTTAGGTACAGAAAGTCCCATGAGGTTGGAAATAGAAGGACATTTAGTGCACCAGTGCTTTAACGACTCCAAGAAAGCATCAGTCTGTTCCTGTTGACACACAGCATCCTCAAAACAATGATATTCAGCCTACCTTCAGCTCAGCAGGTAGCTCAGTCTCTCCCTTACTTCCAGGGATAATGAACTACCTTGTGGTGCACTGATAGGAACAGATAATGGTTACACCGTGCTTTGCTGAGCAGACAGCTACAAACATGCTAAATATGATGATTGTGAGATGGTTAAAGCCTCTGGGTAAATTTTTCAAAAGTGCCTAAGTGATTTAGAAGCCTAAGTCTCATTTCCAAATGAATTTTCAATCCTGCATCTCTAGGACTTTTTAAAGTTTCACCCCAGGTGTCTGAAAATGAGTTCTCTAATTAGCACAACATTTATTTTCTTGTTAATGCCATCTAGCCTCAGGGAGACCAATCTGTTCTTCTTAACTGAGGATATCTGCAACAAATTTAATTAAATGAATTTGCTTAGTATTTAGTCTGGTCTGAGAGCAAATTCTGGCTCAAGGGCTTGAACAAGCAAAGTGCAACCTACAGAAGAAAGTTCATTTAAAAGCAGGGCTACACTGTATGTTTTAAAAGGCCTACACCGTTTGTATGTCCCAGAGATCTCCTCATGCTGTGCCTCCTGCCTCCTGGGAAAGGAGTTCAAAGACACAAATACAGGAATCATTTTCTTATGGCAGTATTTGCTTGCAAGAGGGTGTCCCCTGCAAGAGATGCAACACTCACCATCCCGCTCTTTCTTCTGAAAAGATGTTCCACTTCTTATTTCTTCCAGCCCTCCCTGCCTGTCTCAGCATCCTCCTGCAGGGGCTGAGCCACCCTGGGGACACAGACAGGGCCAAGGACTGTGACAGGGTGACACCCCGGGGCTCCTGCACAGCTCACATTTGCTCCGAGCGAGGAGGGGAAGCCACACTTGTCCAAACGAGGGCTTCAATTAGCAAACAGCCAAGTGCACCGTGCATTAAAACCAAAAAGGGTTTGGTCTAAAAAAATGCATCTGCTAAATGCCAGAACAATCAAACTTCCTTCAAACCTACGTTATTTTAGAGAACAATTCTCTACTAATATCCCTCACAAATCTTACTTTGCTTAGGTTGCAATTAGAATAATCCTCAAACCATTTGAATTTCTATGCAGTGGTATTCCAGTATCATCACTTCAGCATTCGATATAAAAAAGTTAAGCTTTTATTTAATGAGAGTCATTTAAAATATGTAAATGTCAAAAGGATTACCTTAGAAAAATCTCTCAGAGAATTAAAAACATTAACAGATTCCCACAGGAAAAATTCCGGCAGAATTCAGCAACTCTCCTGTTCCCACTCCTGTCACTTGTATTTCTATCACACATTGAAGCAAAAACAAATTGCTATTAAAATATCATCCAAACACCCTCCTCCCCCTAACAAACTCCACAGTTCAGTTTGAGATACCAACGGCTCAAGCAAAGACAAGAAAAAAAATCCTCTTTTTTTTTTTCTTTAGGCTTATTTAGAGTAGTAAAAACTCAGTGGTAAAAGACCTTTTCAGGTATAGGAGAAATAAATCTCTCTAGGCATGTCTGGCAAACTGTTTTGGGACTGAAACCAGCAGGTGTGCAGACATAATTACTACTGCAAAACATCCAACACATCCAGGTGTGCTCACAAACAGATATATGAAATCCCTGTTATTTTTTGAAAATTCCTAGTCTACCAGGTGCCACCCTCCCAAAGGAAAACCAGAGCAAAGAATGAGTTCAGGAAGATGTGAATAAATTGTCCTTGCCCCCTTGCAGGCTGTGTGTCTTTTCCCCCCATCCCAAAGCCCTTTCCCAGGCTGCAGTCCCGTGCCCCCTGCCCACCCTGCCCGGCCGGGACGCTCCGCAGCACCAGGGCTTTGGGAAGGGGGCACCGGGGCTTTGGGAAGGGGGCAC